TTGCCGCTTTATATAGATTATATTAACGTTCTGTAGGTCATTCAGTACATATACAGACTGTTGTGAATACATATGAATGAATATTGTGCATTTGCTGCTGTACGCCAGAGCCTCATTTTAATATTCAGGGTGTCTCACCTAAAGTGAACCAATAGATAACTTTTTTACTATGAGATATATAGTTAACTTCTTATGGGACACTACCCTTTATTTTTAAAATGTTTTTTGAGTGGTTTCAAATTTTAAAAATATGTTCACCATTTTCCAATATGGCTGACAATTTTGTTAATCCTATGGAATACGCTGTATTTTATGATTGTTTTAGAATGTAAACGCACAATTTTCAAACCTTTTTATTCTTGACATTTTTCTCTAAAGCTACTTGTTTAGGAGTTACATCATGTTACATCAAAGAAGAAATGGCTTGTGAGTACATCCTGCATCCTGTAGCTCATAAACGAGTAAGTTTAAGAGAGAAAATACAAAGAATAAACAAGTCTTCAAATCACATCTACATTCAAAAAAGAACATAAAATAAATTGTTCCAATATCAAAGTAAGCTACAATTTTTGAAAATGGTGGCCATTTTTAAAACGACAGAATCAGTATTATTAACGTATTTTATATATTTTTTTGGAATGTAGACTTATTATGTGGCTTGTTTATTGTTTGCACTCTCTCTCTTAACTTACTCGTTTATGAGCTACAGGATGTCGAATGTACACCACAAGCCTTTTTTTAGATATAACACGCTGTATCTCCTAAAAGGAGTAACCTTAGAGAAAAAATGTCACAAATAAAAACGTTTTTAAATGGCATTTAAATTCTAAAACAATCCTAAAATACAGCGTATTCTATAAGAAACAACAAAGTTGTTGGCCATATTGGAAAATGGCGGATATATATGTTTTATTCGTAACCATCCCTTAAAACATTTTTTTTTTAATAAAGGGGATCGTCTAATAAAAAGTTAACTCTACCTATATGGAAAATCAAATTTATGTATATTTACTATGTAATCTCAACCGGGATGAAACGGTGTACCATTTTATAGCAGAACTAGCAGTTACCCGGCGCGCGCGTTGCTGCGCTACCAAAATATATCTGTCTGTGTGAAAAGCATGTTTTCTCTACATTTAAACCGACGATAGTCAGGGATTGCCCTAGTGCCTTATAATGGTGATTATGAAAGCAATACACTAAGGGAATTGTAGTTGCTTAAATTCAGAGGGTAATTCGGATGAAATCATCAGTATTTTTTGGATTAAGACCATTTCTCCCTTAAACCTACCACTGATAAGTGATAATGAAAAAAACTGATGGAAAATTTAAACGTTGAGTGCACAGGTGTGCTGCGATTGGGGTTTAATACATTTGGACTTATTCAAAAGTAAAATAGTTTTCTGTGCTGCACTCTGTAGAAACACTGTGACACTATTTCAAATCATGACTAATGCTAATACAGAATGTTGTGATTATTCAAACCTACAAAACAGTTGGTGAAAGTAAACATCTGCTTTTAAATTATATTTATTTGTAAACATTGTAGATCAAAAAGTCTGACATTGGCCCACTTAAAACCCTCTGGAGCAGAGCCCTTTTGACAGATCTGCACCAAACTTCACTCGAACCATCCTCGAAAGATGCTTAATAATGCCTGAAAGTTTCAATACAATCTGTCAAGCGGTTTCGGAGTCCATAACGTATCTCAACATGGTCTAACAGCATAGAAAAATCCAGCTTTCCCATAATTACTTACAACATCAAACCTATATTGACTGTGGGCTCCGTATTATCCATGGCGCGCCTCGATACTACTACGAATTTTCCACGTTTACTCTTACAGAATTAAACGTAGCTCTGTTGTTTTTGCACAGATTCCCTTAAACTTGGTGTTGTTGTACTACTTGTTAGTTTTTCTAACCATAAATCATCTGTAACATGTCTTAAACGCGTACAATACTTCCGATATTTGATTTTAAGGTAGTTTCAAATTTTCCTTTTTGCAATAAGCGTTGATTGGGGCCTACAGCATAAGAGATAGAAGAAAGGTTGTAATAACCTTTTTGAAGGACAATATATTTAGGCGTAGATAGACAGCTAAACCACCTTTCTATCATTAACCGTTTGAGAGTTATACGTGGAAACGTAAACCACCGACGCGCGCAACTTCCCCCCCTCCCCCCGAGTTGTGACCACCCTAGACATCATCGATTTTTTTTCATCTACTAGATGTCCCCAACAATAATCAAAAGTCAAATTTTGTCAGACTTTCAGTGCATACTCAACCCGTTTAGCGCCTGGACTAGATTGGATTTACACTAAAATGTCTCCTTAAAAATATCACATTTATTCCCTATTTAAATAACATTAGTTTAACAAGTACTTAGGTTTGCTGCAACAGGGACGGTAAAAAGGTGTTTTTTTTTATGTTAGTAGTTTAGTATGAAATGAATACATTTTCCAGCTATATTTATAGCTAAAATTTCTTTCTTTCTTTATTCCTCTTAAATTATAATTAAAAATCATGAGACTCGCTTGGAACCACATTTTTAAATGAATTAATGTTGCTTTTATTTTAGATTTTTTACTAGCTGTATTACATAAATTTAAAAATAATTATAAATGTACTTTTTTATATAAGTATACCTAGTTAAATAATTACATGTTACAGTTTTAAAATATGTTATTTTACAGCAAGGTGCCAAACAAACAGACGATTTAAATAAACCATTGTTTTGTGTGTTTTGTTTTTTGTTTGAATACATTTTCCAAATTTGATCAAAATATGATCATAAACAAGCAAACTACAACAGTTTACTTATTCTCCATAAGAATACTATGGGAATTTTAAATTTACAGTTTTTTGGAATTTTCTCCGTAACCATTAGACGCATAATAACGCTTCAATATATATTCCAGTATTCTAACCAAACAACACAAAACAGTGTGGTTTTTTATTATGCACGTAATCCGTGTACACTTGGAATTAGGTTGGCAATACTTAAAGATACTGCTACTATGATCAGCTGATTGACTATTAATACTAAGATTTAACCTGTCATTTCGTGTTTATATTCTATTTTCCTTCATTGATTGGTTTGAACATAACCTAAAGTGTAGTATTTGAAAGAATAATTATAAGTGGGCCTAACATGTATGAGAATAATGAAATCAGTGATTGAGAATATATGTTTCATTACACATGTTTACTGAAAAATCAAGAAAGATGTATTAACGAGCATACAAACTGTTTTCTTCTTGGTGCGTAAGTAAGAAAGTTATAAAACTACTTGTTTATTCCGTTTATACTGATTATTACTGTTTATAAGGGTTTGAAAATAAGTAACACCTAAAGATACTACGCCTACAATCAGCTGGTGTAGTGTTTCCCATTCTGTTTGAGGCTTGGGTTTAACCATAGATAAAACATACTCCCTTAGTAGATTTCTCATCCTTATAGAGCAGCTGAAGACAATTTTATTGTTAGTTCATGTACGGTTTATGTAGAGGTTGTGTTTTGTTTACAATTTGTTTCCCGTTATTACAGCCATTTAAAACCTCGTTTAACCAAATAATACGATCTAATCATAAACAATAACTTGTCCCCTAGTTATATAACCAAACAGTAAAGCACAAATCAAGAAATTAACCCTAAAACAATGGAAACAAAGTTTCATCGACACTAGCGCCTTTGTGTCACGTACATGAACTAGACACGAAAAACGTGCTTCAAAATTTACAATGGGATGAGAAGTCTACTTGTGTTGGTTAGTCTATGGTTTAACCTAACCTAAAAACTTATTGTATAATGTTTGAGACTAATTATTTATGCTTTATAGTGACTGTAGGAAAAATATAATGTTTAACACAAGCCCAAATGGCCTTTGCTGTACTCGAGAAACATTTCTCTCGTGTGCAGCAAAGTGCCACTTTGCTCACTAGTTACATAAATAATTTTTTTGTGAACATTATATAGTTTTAAAAGTTTGAATGTAAAAGGGTAGGCTACATAGGATATTATCATCTCAAAAATACAAAATACTACTTATATATTTTTTCCTAACGTTACCTGAAAAAGTGGGTTTCCTTGCACTGATTTTAGCACACAAATTAGCTAATTGCTGCATTTAGTTACTTTTGCCGCACTATTTTTTTTAAGCACACCAGTATTCCAAAATTTCAACCAAATAACACAAAATAGTGTGCTTTAATTAGGTTTGTAATACGTGTATGCTTGAAAAAAAGTTCGCAACCCTTAAGATACTACGATCAGCTGTTGCAGCGTTTCTTATTTCGTCCATGCTTGGATTTGATTTAACCTTACCTAAAAATGTGTTTTATAGTGTTTGGATCAAATATCATTAAGGTGGATGATAAATAGTCAAATACAAAAATATAATTTGGGCAACACTTAGTACTAGGTATACATCTAATCCAGAAATATTGTCCTTAATGCTTAGACGATGTATGAACACTATTACTGTCAACAATTTTGCTGAATAGTTTTGTACACAATACTGTTTTAATATTGATACATTATGGGCTTTTAGTTTTACCTATGGTATGGATGTTCTAATACAATCATTAAACATTTTTAGTTAAAAATAAGCTTACTCCAAACAATAAACCCTATAGTTATGAATCATCATATATGGATACAGTTCTTTAGTTTGCTGTACGAGTTAGAGGAATTCAGGTAGGCTACTAAAATTATCAAAATTTAACAATAAATATACACATAATTTGCACTACCGGTATATGTGTTAAATTCCTATTAATTTGAATAACTAAAGTAAAATATACATTATAAACTCATTGCAATGCTATTTAATGGGAAAATACTAAATTACCTTGTTTGTAGCGTGTGGCTGAATTATTATAAATACCCGGGTATTTATGAAAAATTGATACCTGAGTAAATACCCGGGTATTTTATGTCTCTATAGATAGATATAGATGTAGTAGAACATAGTTAAATGGGAGTTGTGTTATCTTACCCATTCTCTCGCCATCAACAGTAATGTTTTGTTCTCGATCTTGGGCCCAATCAATGGATTCATTTGTGCCATGTAGCAACACAGCCAGCTGAATTGGAAAACAGAATTATTAGTAAGAACAAATTGCACTTTTACTGTTTGTAGTTTATAGTGTAGTGTTGCTAAGTAACAATAATTTTACATTTCCACAGAACCTTTAACTAGTAATATAATTGCCATCGTTAGTGTATCTACTATCAATTACCAGCCCAGTTAAACCAATTAAAAAGTAAATTAAATAGGCCTACATGTAAGATAGTATACTTTTACAGGGTAGGTTACAAGGTACGATTTCAGGATGTCCTGTGCCCCATCTACAGAAAATTAAAGGTTGACTAGTGAACCCGTGCGGCTCAATGCGCCACAAAAAAACATATGAATTTAGAAAACAAATTCATCGTGTTATACATTGACTCTTAAGTCGTTAAATACAGTAATGAATGAAGCCTTAGCAGGAAAGCAGACCATCCATTTTCTAGCTGTATATGTCTTATATTTAGTAAATTAATAAGTTATCAAGCATCTATATATTAATTTGAAACTGTTTTTCTTTGTGACAGCTAATTTGAGAGAACGGCTGGGCGTAGAAACTCGGTAGAGGTGTCTAAAGAAAGGACTTGGTCTGTAGATGAGCCATCAAAAGAGAAACGTGGTAAATTCCCTTGGGGCTCTGCCTCAGTGGCCTTTAAATTTCCATCCCATGTTATTCTTATGAGGGAAAAACAGGTTTTTGTCACAGCTAATTTCAGAGAACAGCTGGGCGTATAAACTTGGTAGGGGTCTCTAAAGAAAGGTCTTGGTCTGTAGATGAGCCATCAAAAGAGAAACGAGGTAAATTCCCTTGGGGCTCTGCCCTAGAGGCCTTTAAAGTCCCCTCAGCAGATTTGTTTACATTATGACCATAAGTAAAAGTTTACACTACTTTTTAATGAAACAGCTGTTAATATTTAAATTGTGATTCACTGAATTTGTCAAAATGAAGTATTTGCAATGGTTTTTTTCAGATTTTAAAATTGATTTTCTTCTGCATCATGTCATGTTAAATTGCAATATAATGTTTTATTACCAAATCAGTGGAAAATCCTAATATCACAGTAACTCTTAAAATTATTTCTTATGGAGTTAACTTATGTCTATTGTATGGGTTGGTTTCTGCCTTTTTTTACCACTTCTTCGAGATTGTAAGAATAAGAATATCTTTATTGTCATAACAGTCAGCCTCTGAAGAGTGTCATCATTCTGATGTACGTAGGCGTGTTGCACGTAGATGATATTCTTTGGCGTATTGCATCTGTAGACGATACTTGGGTTGGTGTAATTATTATTACAATGGAAAAAGCGAGAAATCCTGGACAGTTTGATACAGGCCTACTAAAATAAAACTGAATCAACACTGTGCTACATTTCTTGAGCAATCATTGAAAGAGCCGATTTGCAAACAATGGAAACACAAGAAAGTCATAGAACACAACCAAGTAGAAGAAATAGAAATAATGTTTTTTTTCTTCATTTATAATCGTTATTATAGAGAATCTAACGCCGCTATGAGTGGGAAACATTTGTAGAAAACTCTAAAAAAACAAGATCAGCTTTTGAAAAAAGATAAGATATTTACAAACAATTTTGATTATATCTAACTATTGTGTACATCGTGAGTATTTCCATAATCTTTGAGTCGACTTTAATAAAGTCATCGGAAATTATGACCGTTATTCGTTTTAAAATAACGCCAGTAATGCTTCGCAATTGCTCGAATTCGAGCAACAGGTACACTAGTTTTATAGTTATTTTAAGATTTCAAAACACATTTAATAAAACATTTTAATAAAACCAATATATAGCATATTTGAAGAACATAAAAATGTTTCTTGAAGAAACCCCTTTTAAAAATAATCACAAAAAATCTACTTTATGTAGGTACAAAAGAACTTCCTTGAATAACTTAGGCTACGGTACTAAGTTTTTATTCCTGAAATCACCTGGTCAGAATTTTCCGTGATGAATATGCATACACCATCAAAATGTGTAGCCCTACTTAAAGCAACATATAGTTGCCCATGACTGAAAACTGGACTGGGTCTGGGTAAGAACATTGCTAGGGTACTCTTTTAAGTGATTGCTCTTGTGCTTTATTGATTGTCATTGCAAATGACAAAGCTTATGGAAATTGGCATCTTCCCATTTTAAATGGTAAGTTTGTTTCAGACGGACACATTTTTATCATCGGAAACAAAATATGTTCCTCTCACTTGTTCCAGTTAGGACTTTTCATTCTATTAAACTGTTAACCGTTTTGTTCACTTTTGTTCCATTAATGAGGCCCTCTGGTGTATAGATATTCCTCATCAATAAAACCACTGCCCCCTTGTTTAAGATCTGTGTCTTGGCAATCCACTGACCTCTATATTGTTTAAAAACTCTGTTGGGGATTCTAGATGGGCGTTTAAATTATCTGCAAGCAAACTATCAATGCTTTCGTACACCTTGGGCTCACCTGGCAATTTATCCAAGACTTTGTTGTTGGGTCAATCTGAATGAAATCAACCAATAAAAAAATATTTTATTGCTGACATAATTTATTTAATTTTTATTTGCTTATTTTCTGTTACCGGTACAATATATATCTGAGAGCACAAGAAAATATTTTCCAAAATTTTTTCATCAATGCTTTGTCTGCTAGCGGCCATTTTGTGTAAGAAGATTGCGCATTTCACGCGTTTTCAAGGGTTAGCGATAAGTCTAATAACTTTTTTATTTATTAAGATATCAACTTGAAACAAAAATCATCTAATTCTAAATCAAACCATCTACAATTAATGTTATGACCAAAGTTGTTGTATCTTGTAAGCAAATTAGGCTACCTAAAATTTGACTGAAAAATTAGGTTTCAATTAGAACAAATTGCCAACTATGAATTTATTTCCTATGGAAGGGATGAAAACACATCTTCAATATTTTTCCCCACAAGGATGTAACAGGTGCTTACACTTAGAAAAAATTTGAGATCTGTCATTTCCATCCTTTAAGTTTTACGAGCCTTAAAAAAATATTGTCGTTTTAGAAAAATATCAGTTTTTCGGAGTGCTGTATCTCAAAAAGGACTAAACTTAAAAATTTGAAATTTTATCAAAATATACTTCTAATAGATAATAAGTGAAATATAAAAATTCATCATTGTGTTTTGAGCATAAGTATTTTTTTTTTTTTCTTAAAAGCCAATCATCATACTATGTTACAGATATGGCGATTTCCGAATTGCCACATTAAAAAGAGTAGAACAGAAAAAAATAATTACTTAAGCCCTATATACCTTTATCAGCATATTAAAAGGCCTAAATTGTATCCTAACTAACTTATGTAAATGAATAAATAAATAGAATCGTGTAGAAATGTTTCAAAAATTCCAACAATAAGGACTAAAATATATTTAAAAAATGTGTGTTGAAAACTAGATCTGTGTTAGCCTACTTACATTTTTGTTTATGTTTCTTGACTCGTGTAATACATGTTAAAGTAACAGTTACAAAATATTTTTGGTTTGTGTGCATAACAGTTCCTGGAGAGTTTTGGCGGAACTAACTTTGCTACATCTGTCCAAAATACAGCACTGTGTTGTGTAATCGCGATATTTCTTCAGATAACTTGATGCTTATGTTGTAGCCTCGACCTGTCATAGTTGTAAATTCCATTGGTAATAACTTCCTCAAAATCTTTGTCACTGGTACCCAAACTCTGTCATCTTTAGAAATCTTAAATGAAGTATGAGGTCCATGGGGATAGAAGAAATGAATCAACAAGTCAGCGTTTTCAAGACTCACATCTTTGACTTCACCAATCCACCAGTTATGCTCATAAACACACACTACAATGTCATCTTCTCTGAAAAATGTTGTTTTGAAATATGGCAAAACAGAAACTCTGTGGTCACTGTAGGTGTCACTTCTTGAATGAATATAACACCGTATAGTGCTAGGATTCTGTGGAACAAACTTGTGATATGACCTTGTTTCTGGAACCTTTTCACAGATTTTAAATCTTTGAATCAGATTTGCTTCATTTGATTCTACTTCTTTTGGTACTAATATGTAGGAAATCCCTTTAATTTCTTCAGAACAAAATTTAAATACAATACAATATTCTTTATTGTTAATTCGTTAAGAATTACAATAGTGTCAATACAATAGTGAATTGCACATGTTAATTTCCATAATTTTCATAAAATTCCTTTATTGAGTAGAAGGGTCTTGCGATTAGCCACTTCTTCAACTCCTGGTGTAGCTTGTTGCCAGTCAGGTCTCTCAGGTAGTCAGGTAGATGGTTCCTCAGCTTGCAGCCGGTGTAGGAAGGTTTTTTCTCCCAAAGAGTTGTTCAGTGAACTGGTAGTGCAAATTTGGAGCCATGACGGGTGTTGTAGTGGTGCAGGTCTTGGTTTCTCGGGGGGTTTATTTCATTCACATACTTTATGGTTTCAAGTATGTAGAGAGACACCACTGTGAGGATTCCTAGGTTTGCGAATGCTAATCTTCAAGTCTGTGGTGGGACAAGGTTGGCGAGGGCTCTTACGGCTTTCTTTTGAAGGACAAGAATTCGATTCATATTTTTTGTTGAAGCTCCTCCCCACACTATCAAGCCATATCTAAGATGCGACTCTACCAGTGCGAAGTAAGCTGTTTTGGCCACAGAGAGTCCGCCTATGTAGTTTATTCTTCTGACGACATATATTCCAATACTGATTTTTTTGCTTAGGTGGTTGATGTGCTCTTTCCATGTTAGTTTGTTATCAAGGATAACACCGAGAAATTGTGTGTGGTTTTCTATTGTTACATCCTCTAATTGAGGGACTATGTCTTTTTTTTACTGAAATTCAGAGTTGTAGTTTTTGTGGGGTTCATTGCTAAGTCATTGTTCTTTGAGTAGAGGATAGCTTTATTTAAGATCGATTTTGAATTAAGGTAAAGGCTTTGGGCTGTGTTGTCCTTGATCAAAATGGCTGTGTCATCTGCATACATTATTGCAACAGCATTTTCACTCTCAATTTGTTTGCGGAAG